CACGAGGCCCCCTCTCCCCTTCTGCATAGAAAAAAAACCAACCCTGTTTCTGCTTACCACACACGCGAAAATGCCGGTTTCTGTAAGCAAACCCCAGCGCAGCCTATGGGCTTGGCTGGAGAAAAGGCCCCTGCCTGTCACCTCCAAACCCCTAGGTGTGGTGGTGCTTTGCTGCTGGGTGTTAAGTCATGGGTGTTGTGGCTCAGTGCTCGCCAACCCATAGACATGCCTTGTGTGAAGTTTTCAGATCACGAGGAGCGGCTGTCTGGAAGCGAGAGGGAGGAGGATGAGGACGATGTTGAGGCTGCCCTGAAGAAGGAGGTCGGCCAGATCCGCGCCTCGACGGAGCAGAAGCTGCGGCGGGTCCAGTCAGTGGAGAGTGGTGCCAACAACGTGGTCTTCATCAGAACCCGGGGCATAGGTGGGGCATCAGCTGTGTATTGCTGTGGGGATAAACTGCTCTGAACAGTGTTAGTGACAGGCCATAAAGTGTAACTTCCAAGAAACTTGTGAATTTCAAATAGAAGTTTTCCCCTTCCCTTTTGCATTGCCACTTAATTTTGTCACTAGCAGAGCTGCTAACAGTTGAGGAATCTGCTTTGACAAAATATTCTTTGATTATCCAGTTTTGGTTTAGTAAAACAACTCTCTATGGAAAAGGATTTGAGGCTGACAGCAGTATGTTCAACCGTGCATTTTCCTAGCTCATTATTTAGAGGGGGGAAGAAGGGAAAAAATGCCTTCAATTTGTTTCTCATACTGAGCTATTTTTCTTGTAGAACCTGAGAACCTGGTGCACCATATATTAAAGGATATGCATGCCACTAAAAAGAAGAAAACAAGGGTCATTCTGCGCATGCTGCCCATTTCTGGAACTTGCAAGGCTTTTATGGAGGATATGAAAAAATATGCAGAAACTTTTTTCGAGCCTTGGTTTAAAGCCCCTAATAAGGGTACTTTTCAGATTGTTTACAAAGCTCGTAATAACAGTCATATGAATAGGGAAGAAGTAATTAAGGAATTGGCAGGTATGTATGGATTTTACACAAAACTAAGAATAAGTATACAAGCAGTCCACAACTGCATGCATAACATAGGTCAGATTATTAAAAGTGGTCTTAATGGGCATACCTATTTATTGCTTAAAGTCTGTATGTTGAATTACAATTCTCTAAGACTTAAAAAAGCTTGACACCAGTATTCCTTGATGTTTTAAGAGACAAGCAGAAGAGAGTACAACATTGAATATAATTTGGGGTGTCTCTTATGTGTGCTTTGAAATGATTGCCGTTGGGCTTTCTCTCTGGATGCTATATTGAAATAATGTATTACTGTTTCCATTGAATCTATGACTCAGGAAACTGCTCCACCTTATTCGAGTATTTTGTTTCTTGGTAATTGCAGTGGGATAGTTTTTCAGTTACTTTAGTTCTACTGGTGGTATATTCTGAGAGTCCTGCCCTGTTCTGCTATTTTAAACAATTACAAAAGCAGGTATTGGTTACAACTAAGGGGGATGTTGCCTTCTCTTTCTTAACTTCTGTCCTTTCCATAGGGCATGCTTATGCTCTGAAACAATTTTTATAGCAACTTTTAAACTATATCTTGTTTTACAGGAATTGTGGGCAGTCTCAATCCAGAAAACAAAGTCGATCTTAATAACCCACAATATACAATTGTGGTGGAAATAATAAAAAATGTCTGTTGCTTGAGTGTGGTGAGAGACTATGTTCTGTTCAGAAAATACAATCTTCAGGAGGTGGTGAAGAGCAGCAAGGACGACACACAACAAAACCCATCAAGTCTGACAGAAGAACAGAACTCAAAGGTAGCAAAACCAGAAACCAAGGAGGAGGAGGAGAAGAGCTCAAAAGAAGTAGAAGAGAACAAGAATCAAGGTGAAATAGAAGCTGAGACCAAGGGGAATGATACACAGACAGTGTAGAAAATGTGGTAGAAGGAAAAGATAAACACAGTTGAAAAGTTGCTCTAGAGTTCTGAAGGGGCATTTTAAAGAGGAGAGTGGGTTTTGTTTTGGAATCTTGTTTTTAAAATCCACATGTGTAAGAATTAAATGTGCGTTGCAGGTGGAGCTGACATTACGGCAGATGTGAGAGTGCGCAAGAGTGCATCACCTTTCTGGTGAAGCTTGCTGTCCTTTTTCTATGGCTTTGTTCTGCATTGCCTTTAACTAGCACTAATTTGTGCATGCCTATGTAACTGTGGCCGTGCTGACATATATTGACTCCTTTGTTGTATCTGATGACTACAGAAGTCAAAAGGCAGTGCAGAACCAGCTCTATCAGCAAGTATTGACAGAAGCGAGAGCTGAAAAAGAGAGTTACTTGCAGAGGGTTTTTAAGGAGGTGATCTGACAACTTGTGTGACTGCAGAACTTGGGTACGTTTTTCTGTGTGAACAACAGAAAGCTAAACCCAATAATTTCCTGTATGATGGAGAGTTCTCTCTCTATATATATAAACACATTGCCCTACAAAGATATGCTAAGTCTTTAAAGTGAATGGGAAGAACTACTATGATTAAAATACTTGAATACTATGGGATGATTTAGAGTACTAAATTTGACTGTTCTAGAACAGTAGAAGTACACTGCAGGCATTGCAGATGGTTTTGGCAGAAACTACATGTGTTTACATTAGCAGAGTATACAGCAGTTACTTGTTTATAAGAAATGCTGTTGTCACCAAGCAGAATCCTTTTGAGTAATTTCCTGCAAAAGCCTTTTGCTGCTCTTTCCAAAGACCCCTAATCCTTGGGGGGCAGGGAGGGGAAGGAGGAGGAGGGTTGGGGTGTGTGTTTATAAAGTCTTTTTTTGTTTTTATTTTTTTCTTAGTTCTCAAAATTTGAATTTAAATACTGCTCAGAAACTTCTTATGTAAGAAGCTTCCCATTATACTGTACTGGATAAAGTGAATTAAGTTTTATTTTTGGTACTTTTAGCTTTACAGTATTAATTTTGTTTCAGATTGAAAGTAATGTTAGTGAGTCTTCCTGTTGTCTGTCTGTTACAGCAACTCTTTTGATAGCCCAGTGACTTTTACAAAAACAGCCAAAACCAGTGCAACTATGGCCTGCTTTCCAGTAGGGTTTTGAGTATGCTTCCTCTACCACTGTCTAGCTTTAGTATTTCATTTTTAGCATAAAAGCATGTGAGTTGCTAATGGGAAAAGACTCATCTTGAAGAACGCCACTTGTTACTTGTCTTGGTTTAATGAAAAGGATGTGTTCAAATCCCTTAACAGTGTTCAATTTATATTTTCCTCTTCTCTCAAAATTGTTTTAGAAGTTGGAAAATTAAGACAACTTTTTTCCCTAGTCCTGTCTCCCTTACCCCCCATTTATTAAAACTGTTTCTCACCTCCACCTGTGTTTTGTTTAAATTTAAAAACTTTTTGTGTGTGGATTAAAACCAGCAACATCTTGGTCACACATGGGAAAGAACCATTTGAGACCGGACACAAGGGCAAACAGTGAATGTTTGTTGGTGGCTGATGTTGGCGATCACAATTCCAAGACAGCCTACTTATCTTACTGAGGACCAAGACAGACTCATTAATAGTTTGTGGGGTTTTTTCCTTCTCTCTGTCACTCCTGTGTGCCTAGAGGACCTACAGCTCTTCAGAAGAAAATGCTGAATAGCTGCCATCCATTTGTCAAGTCCATCTGACATTTAGATTCTGCCCGTGCTGCAGTCCTAAAGATGTCTGCAGTCTTTTACTTCTGATTTTTCATAATTTGCTCTTATTGAACATTCATTGTTAACACACTGATTCCTAAATCTTGAGGCTTCCAAGAGTCATACAAGCAGGGTGCTTAATTTGGATCTATGGCTATTTAGAGTCATTAAGGTTGGAAGAGACCTCTAAGATCATCAAGTCCAACCATCAACCTAACACCACTATCCACACACACTTTTTGAACACCTCCAGGATTCTGCTCTCCCTGCTGTCTGCATGTCCAACCCCATGACTTCAGGATGTACCATACACTCTTAGATTAGGGATGAGAGAAAGCCTAAAGCTCCAGTAGGAGTGGAGCTGGAAAGGAGCTGCCAAAGCAGTGAGCTGAAAAGATGCACAAGACTGGTAGCAGCAGAGCCACATGTGTGCCTTCAAGGGCTGAATACCAGCCTCTGTATTTACAGTCTGTAATGCCTCAGGGCAAAATTTTCTCTGGTTTGGAGGTGCCTGAGAGGTGAATTTCATCCTCTCTCTGCAGTGCTAAGGAAAAGGCTCTACCTTCTCACAGCCTCTGCCTCTAACACAGAATTTCCACCACTCAAAGTTTAAGTGGCTATGAGGGCCCATACAACTAAATTGTTAAAGGGCCAGGCAATAGCTCAAACAGGCACAGCAGGGGCACTTATTAACAGATACACAATACCTGGTGAGGTCATGCTGTACCAACATGCAGCAGGCAGTTGGGGCGCTGCATAGAGTTGTCACTGGATATCTGCACAAGGGATATCTGCACAAGTTTTGATATATATATATATAAAAGAGGGTTAAACAAAACTGTTTTGGGAAAAAAACTTGCTGCTAACTATGCCTTTCTATTCCACACTAAGGCACAAATTACAAGACCTGATTGTAACCTCACTTACATGGAAAGTAAAATAATTGCTATCACTGTCACTGTTCAGAAAAGATTTTACAGTGCCCCAAACATCAGCTGAAGAGGTGATACATTGACTGGTAAATCACTGCTGTACCTAATTAGTCCTGATGCTCACTTGAAGCACCAGGACCATCTCCCTTGGTGTCTTGGTACACTGTCCTTGAAGGTGCAATGTATGTTTTGCAGGGAACTTCAGTAAAGCCCACGCCTCAGACTGGGCAAAATCAGGCATCTCAAAATGGAGGCACCTAAAATTATAGGTTTCTTTTGAACGTTTTGCCTGTATCAGTCTTTTATCTAGCCCTGCACTTTCTGAAATGCACTGTTGCAAATCTTTAGACACGCTGCAATTCCCTCAACTGTCCTGACAAAGGGCCAATGTGCAGAGGCAAGTCTCCATAAGCTCTGGCTGAGTCATGAGTAATGCTGTGTTAAAAGGTTGTTTTGGACTGGCAAATTTACATATCTTCATTTATCTGGGACAGAATACAGGACATAAATACCTTGCTAGAAAAATAAAGAGCTCAGCTGAGCCTCTCTTTTCTGACACATCTTTATTTCTCACCTGTAGCACTAGCAGATGATTCACAGTCACTCAGGTAGAACTAAGCTTTACTTTGTTTTTTTAACCTCACTTCTGCCTGCAACAAAAATTTGCTCAGAGAGCGGACAAGTAGTGATAAACAAAAGCAAGGGGAAGACCTCACATTCACCAGCCTTCACACCATGGGTAAAGCAGCCTCTACTATCAAACTTCATTTTGTGCAGAGGTGTGAAATCCCACACACGTTGTGAACAGATGTTTTCAAGGCCAGGAAATTTATACAAAAAAGAAAACCAAACTAGCAACTACCATTTTGGAAAGGAAATTAAATGGGATTAAAATCCCCAAATAACCCCTACATGTTAGGAATGTACACTTTTCCACATAGGTGCTTTGAGCCATTTGGAAACAGCACTCTTCCCATTGTGTTAGAATAAGACTCATATTGGCCAGAGAAGCTTGAAAATAATTTATTTTAAGAACAAGCCAATCTCACAGCTTGTTTTTTCCAGTACTGCATTGCCTTTCTTAAGGGTCACAGCAGTGTAATTAAAATACTAATTTACATGTAATTCAGCGTGTTTATCGTTTCAATAGTGAAATACAGTAGGGGAGAGGTTTAAGTAATACCAGTAACTCCTACTGATTGAAAGCAGCTGGTAATATCCTGTGCCCAAAAGAGTCACGCTGCAAAATCCTTCCTGTATTATATTCCTATTCAGAGAACAATCATCTTGTGGTTATGCCATCTTAAAACAGCTAATCCCATAAACCCAAGCGGATTAGTTGTGTGGCCTGCCTGGAAAACAACATGAAATATGAGTAACTGTTCATTGTGAGCATGGTGTTCTTACATTTAAGATTGCTCTTGGAACAAACTGTGGCATGGCATGTACAAAAACATGCCCTGGAACCACAGACCAAAACCGCCCCAAGTAGCTCCCTTTTCCCAAGCAGTATCTGACATGTTCCACATGATGTCTGAGTCAAATTCATCCAGTATCTGTTGAAGACAAAGGTGGCCAAGTAAGGGATTTTGCAAGTGGAAATTAATAATGTGAGGTTTTTGGTTTTGAGAGGTTTTTTTTGCTTGGCATGGTAGATTTGATCCAAAACTCAAGAGCTCAAATAAATGTCTTTTGCCTAACCTTTATACTGATGGCAAAGATAATCAAATGGTATCCTAACTCATTATTTAGCCTGGATTAGCAAGCAAGTGCTTTCTAAAATGAAGCTATATACCATATCAAACAAGATCCTTGCTTGCTGGGTATGATTCAGCTGAGAAGATCAAGAGAAATGACATATACAGTATCGTGGGAGCCTTACCATCTATCCTAATTTTATCACATACAAAATCTCTTCTGTTTGCTTTACATTTCAGAGCTATAAATGCACAATTAGTTGAATACTTAACTTCCACAGACAAAGAAACCCAGACCAAAGCTTCCATAGGAATGTTCAACCATTCTGGGAGAGCTCGTGGTGCTACTGGTAAAATAGATTTCCATTGGAACCTGGCTTTTTGTCTTCACACAGTTATGGACAGCAGGGGCAGCCCTTAAAAAGAACCGAAAGGTTACATGGCTGGTGTTACTCAGCATGCTTAGTTTGCACCCTTTGTGCTCAGGACTGCTTGTATAGTGAGATGTGAGGGATAAGAAACTCCTGAGATGACTGTCCACCTTCTCCAGAGTAAAACCACCATCTCTCTTATTTGCCTCCCTTAAAAACAACCAAAAGGCTTGCATCTTGCATTTGAC